CGGAGTGATGTACTGAGTTCCCACATTTGCTGGCTTTGTCAGAATTATAAAATAGAATTGTTTTGATAGAATTATTTATTAGAATTGCTTTGGACAATGGCCTTGGTGGTCACAGTGGCCACGGTGGCTCTGGTAGTCTTATGGCTCGGGGAGTCATGGTGATTGTGGTGGCCACTTCTGCCACAGTGACCAGAGTGACTTCAGTGACCATGGTGACCTTTTTGGCCTTGTGGCTCAGAAGATTCCAGTGGCCACTGTCAGGGCTGTGGTGGCCAGGAGGAATCGACTGAGTTGGAAAGGAGCCCTGAGTAAACTCCCAGTGGGGGACAAAGAGGGGAATCAGTGGGACCATGGGGGGGATGAGGGAGTATGGAACAGCCATAATGGGGTTTAGGGGTGACAGGAATGGGGAACATGAGGTGACAGGGTGTCAAGGGGGGCATGGGGGGTACAGGGACAAGGTAGGCCAGGGGGATCATGGTGGGCTTAGGGGTGACAGGGGTCAGGTGTTGTGGTGGACTATCCAAGTGTGAGGACACGAGGTTTGACTCAATTTTTCTCAGAAGGTTGATTTATTATGTTATATATTATACTAAAATACTACATTACAACTATACTAAAAGAACAGAGAGAAGAAGATCAGAAGGCTCCAAAGACCAGAATAGAATAGAATAGAATGCATAAGAAAATCTCGTGACCCTAACAGAGGATTTTTCATAAAATATCATAGCTACAGTCAGGCAAGCCAGCAGGTGCCAGGGGCGTGCCAGGGTGTCAGGGAGTGCCATGTAGGGTCCAAGCCCACTGATGTCCAGCACACAGGGCTCATCCCAACAGCGCTGCCTTTGATGGGGAAGTTCAGTACAGATGGAGCCCTGTCTCTGTCCTTCCCTGGCAGGGGTGTTCCTGTCCTGTCCCCTCACAGAAGTCGGGATCCCCATCCCTGTGCCCTGTCATGGATGTTCCTGTCTCTGTGCCCACAATGGGTGTCCCCAGACTTGGTATCCACAGCCATGGGTGTTCTTGTCCCCACAAACACACAGTGGGTGTTCCTGTCCCCCATGCCCAGTGAGTGTCATTGTCCCCTGTGCCTTATCATGGGTGTCCCCATTGCCCAGGCTGTCCCCTGTGCTGTCTTCTCACTGCCACGCGCAGTTGTATTTGCTGAAGGTCCCCTCAGAGCGGAGCCTGATCCACATCCTCTTCCCATCCCAGATGACTTGGGTGACCTCAAAGGTCTCATATGGAGGGATCAGCACCTCCTCCTCCCCTGGATACATGGAGAACTGCTGGATGTCCACACCATGGCATGTGTGCACTTCAAAAATGGTAGTTGTGCCAAATCGCAGAGCATTCTCTTTGCTCAGTGACGTTGATGTGAATTGACCAAACCGGACCCTCTGGCCTTGCCATGCCTGGAAATGAACGTCACGCACGCCCCGGAACACGTGCTGACACTTCGCTTTCTGAGCATGCCTCAGTGTCTGCAGTGCCTGGGTCAGCAGGAAATGCAGCGTTTTGAAGTGGAAGTTGTCCCGGCATTCCTGGCGGGATCGCCCAGCCGTGCGCACAGCCTCGTTGAACTCCTTGTACACGTCCTGTGACGTGTAGGCCAGGAGAGCAATGGCCTGCCATGAGGACGCCAGAGGGGACACAGGAGAGCCCCGTTTGCGCCACTCAGCTTCAGCATGAAACCAGCTCCAGGCAAACTGAGAGTTGTTCTGGTACTCAAAGTTGTAGAGGTCCAGCAACCCCGCGTTCATGGCCGGGCCGCAGCCCCGGTACTGGTCATCGAAGGAATCCCAGGCCATGTCCAGGGGCACCACCTTGATGGCCACCATGGCCACGGTCATTGCCAGCAGTGCCAGGGTGTGAGCCAGGAGGGCCATGGCAGGGACGGGCCACTACGAGCAGTGTGGGACACTGGAGAACAAAGAGGGACATGCTCAGGGGACACTTAGGGCACAAAGCAACACGTGGCAAAAGTTCCTCCCTGAGGGGCTGAGGAGGGGAACTGGGGTCAGCTGTGGTTTGGGGGGGCCAGCTTCAGCTAGAAGCCCCCTGGACACATCCTGGGATGCTGACCGCAAATGTTGGGGTCATTCCTGCATACCCCTCAGAACCCCACTCCTATAGTCCCATGTCCTCAACCCTTATTGTCCTCCTAGAACCCCAGGAAATGAGATCAAATTCTAGGGTCACTCCTTGTCCCCCCAGCAGTGCCCACCAGGACCCCACTCCCACAATGCCCCACCAGGACCCCACTTCTGTGTCCCACCCAGTGTGGTTCCTCTACCCACCAGCCCCACAACCCTACTCCCAGTCCTGTGTCCCTTTCCCCTCTAGTGTCACCCCAGCCCAAACCTTGGGAACAATCCCTGAACTCCCCACTGTGCCCTCAATGCCCCACCAGCCCCCTGTCCCACTCCCAGTCCTGTTATCATTTCATGTCTCCTCACTACATCAACCCAAATCCAGGGGTTGTCCTCTGTCCTCACAGTGTCCCCCTGGAGTCCCTCAGGACCCCACTCTGCAATCCCAGTCCCACATCCCCCCCCTCAACTCTCCCCATTGTCCCCCAGCCCTTGATACCGATATCAAGCAGAGTGAACTCCCTGGTGGAACTGCAGGTATCAGAAAGACAGAATTCTTTATCAGCTCAAACTCACAGCAGATCTCTCCTGGTCCTGCAGCCCAAGGGGGGGATTTTGCCACTGGGTATTTATCCACCACAATTATAAATATTCATTAGAAGGGGCTTCTTAGCTAATACAGACACATCACTTTCTCTGGAAATAATTTGCATGGTTCTGCCTCTTTCTGGAAGTCCTTTTATAGAACTGGAGGGTCACCCAAAGGGATGTCTGCATGTGGTTTTCACTAAGTGCCCCAATATGCCAGATGACATTTCCTGAAACTTCTGCTTTTTGCAGGCTCTGCTCCTTCTGTGGTCCAGAATTTGCAAAAGACCCTCACTGGAGTTCCTCTATCTGTTTCTCCAGGGATTCCATCCACATTCATCGTCTGTATCCACACTTCCACATAGTTTTCTTGCTTTTGCCCATTCATCTTTTAGCTGTATCCAGTATCTTTAAAGGGATCTGAAACTTTCTGTTCTCTCTCTTATTGATCACCCGCCATGACCTAAATCCCATGGTCCCATGTCGCCCAGTTTCCCCCAGTCCCACTCCCCACTGCTCACTGAGTCGCTGCCACACCTCAGATACCAGTTGGGGTCCCCTATCAGATGACATCCCTGTAGGCACCTTCAGCCTGGAGATGATCTCTCGCAGGGGTGCCTGGGTGACTTCCCTGGCCTTGTTGGAGTGGCTGGAGAAGTTCTGGATGCCAAAAAAGGGATCCACCAACACCAGGAGATACCTGACCCCATGTTGGTGTGGTAGCTCAGAAAATCCATTTGGCAGTTTTCATTGGGCGTGTTTCCTCTTTCAGTGATGGTTTTGAATTCAAAGGGGTTTTTATAAAACATATCGGACATTGCTCTGTAACAGAGATGACAATTTTGTCTAAGGACTCTGAGTGTGAAAAATACATTCACTCTTCAGTGAAAATTTAAAATAATAAAGGAAAAATGGGAAACAGAGTAAAGCAGAGATTACGGCCACATGCGCCTTGGCACTCAGCCAAGAGCACACCTTCACCTTCAGGAATACCCCTTAAATACCTTTTCCATTACATCAACCCATTGCATATTCACAGACCCTTATGCATAGTAAACTTTTTCCACAAACTAGTTTACATGTTCTAAGAACTGTCAAGCATGTCTCCTCCTGGCTTCCATATTTTCAGAGCATGCAGATTCCTTGGTTGTATTTTTAGTCCTTTTTTATCACCTCCAGTTTTTGGGCACAGGTGCACGCCCTCCCTCCACGTGTCCCTGACAACCTGAACAACCAGGGTTGCCTGCTCGCAAGGACACAGGGCGAGGAAAAAGGGATTGTAGGGAGAACAGAGGGAGTCCAGAAACACCATCACAATAACAAAGTTACACATCAAAAGAAAGTCAAATCTAACAAAACTTCCCTTAACAAACACACACACACACACACACACACACACACACACACACACACACACACACACACACACACACACACACACACACACACACACACACACACACACACACACACACACACACACACACACACACACACACACACACACACACACACACACACAATTAATCCATAAATTTTGAGAGCCAATCATCATTCTACCCATCTATAACTCATACCAGAACCCCCAGGTCCTTCTCCAGAGCTGCTCCAGCAGGTCCCGCCCAACCTGGACTGGGGACTGGCAACTGTCAATCCCCAGAACCAGATCCTACCCTTGCCCTCTTTAACCTCTCAGTTTCCAGCCTTTAAGATCCCCCGGAACTGCAGGATGTGGCAGGATGCTCTTCCTGGAACGTGGCCAAGGGCCAATCCCTGTTTGTGGCAATTGGGGCTGCATTGAGAGGGGTGTTGTGCTGATTTTGGCATCGAATTGGGCTAAAACCTGCCCAAATCACCAACCCCGAAATGACAACTGAGGATAAAACACCCTGGGAATATCCAGTCCCCTCTCAGACAGACATTCCTCTCCCCTGTTCCTGCTGGAAATGAAATGTGTGTGACGTTCCTCCCTCACGAAGGGGATGCTCCCTAAGATCCTCCTTGAGGCTGAGAGAAAGAGACGCTCCCAAGAGTGTTGTTCTGGGGAGTGACATTGAGCCCTGTTTAAGAATTCTCAGTTTTTGCTGGCTTTGTCAAAGTGCTGTGGGGGGTCATGGCCCACCCACATCCAGCACACAGGGCCTATCCCAACAGCACTGTTTTGGCAGGGAGGGACAGAGTCGGTACGTGCAGGGCCCAGTCTCTGTCCTCCCCTGGCAGGGGTGTTCCTGTCCCTGTCCCTTCCCACAAGTGGGAATCCCCATCCCTGTGCCCTGTCATGGATGTTCTTGCCCTCGTGCTCACAATGGGTGTCCCCAAATTTGGTGTCACCAGCACTGGGTGTCCTTCTCCCCACAAACACACAGTGGGTGTTCCTGTCCCCCATGCCCAGTGAGTCTCATTGTCCCCTGTGCCATATCATGGGTGTCCCCAGAGCCACAGTGGGTGTCCCCATTGCCCCGGCTGTCCCCTGTGCTGTCACTTAACTGACCTCGCAGTTGTGTTTGGTGAGGCTCCCCACAGAGTAGAGACTGATCCATGTCATCTCCCCATCCCAGTTGACTTTTGTGACTTCAAACATCTCGAAGGGTGGGATCAGCACCTCCTCCTCCTCCGGAAACATGGAGAACTGACGGATATCTGCGCCATAGCATGTGCGCACCTCAAAAATCGTGTCTGTCCCAAATCTCAGAGCCACCTTTTTGCTCTTTGACGTTGATGTGAATTGACCAAACCGGACTGTATCGCCTTTCTGCGCCTGGAAACGAACACCACGAACACCCCGGAACACGTTGTAACACTGCTCGTTCTGAGCGTGCCTCAGTGTCGCCAGGGCATCGGTCAGCAGGAAATGCAGCGTTTTGAAGTGGAAGTTGTCCTGGTATTCCTGGTGGGAGCGCCCGGCCCTGAGTATGGCGGCGTTGAACTCCTTGTATATGTCCTCTGATGTGTAGGCCATGAGAGCCAAGGCCTGCCAATGGGACGCCAGAGGGGACACAGGAGAGCCCCGTCTCTGCCACTCATCTTTAGCAGTTACCCAGCCCCAGGCAAAAAGAGGATTATTATGTAACTCGGAGAAGTAGAGGTCCTGCAACTTCGCATTCATGGCAGGGACACAGCCTTCGTACCCGGCATCAAAAGAATCCTCCGCCAAGTCCATGGGCACCACCTTGATGGCCACTGTGGCCACAGTCAATGCCAGCAGTGCCAGGGTGTGAGCCAGGAGGGCCATGGCGGGGAGGGGCCACCACGAGCAGTGTGGGACACTGAGGGACAAAGAGCGACACACTCAGGGAACACTTAGGGCACAAAGCAACACATGGCAGAAGTTCCTCCCTGAGGGGCTGAGGGCAACTGGGGTCAGCTTTGGGGTGGGGGCAGCTTCAGCTAGAAGACCTCTGAACACATCCTGGGATGCTGATCCCAAATCCTGGGATCATTCCTGGACTCTCCTCAGAACTGTAGGATTACAATCCCACTCCCATGGTCCCATGTCCCCAATGCTTAGTGTCCTCCTACAACACCGGGATCTTAATTTGAATTCTGGGTTCACTCCCTGTCCCCCCAGCAGTGCCCATCAGGACCCCAATCTCACTCCCACAATGCCCCCCCAAGACGCCACTTCTGTGTCCCACCCAGTGTCATCCCTGTGCCCACCAGCCCCACAACCCTACTCCCAGTCCCTTGTCCCTTTCCTACCTAGTGTTACCCCAACCCAAACCCTGGGAACAATCCCTAACCTCCTCAGTGTCCCACCAGCCCCCCCGTGCCAATCCCAGTCCTGTCTTTACGCTTCCATTGTCCCCCCAGTGCTCCCCAGCAACTCATGCCAGCTCCCAATCCTCTGCAACCCTCTTGTGACCCCTAAAAGCGCTCCCTCACCCGCCCCAGTGTCCCCCATATACCACTCCCCGCCCCAAGTCCCTGCCCTACTCCCATTACGCATTTCATGTCATACCAGGACTCCAACCCAAATCCAGAGGTCACTCCCTGCTCCCACAATGTCCCCCTGGAGCCTCCCATGGCCCCACTGCACAATCCCAAACCCATGTCCCTCCCCATTGTCCCCCAGCCCCTGATACCAAAATCAGCTGGAGTGAACTCCCTGATGGAACTGGAGGTATCAGAAAGCCGGAATTCTTTATCAGCTCGGAATCACAGCAGATTTCTCCTGGTCCTGCAGGTCAGGGGGGATTTTGCCATGGGGTATTTGTCCACCACAATTATAAATATTCATTAGAATGATCATGGATTCCATCCACATTCATCCTGGGTATCCACATTTCTACCTCCGTTCCTCGCTTTTGCCTATTCATCTATAAGTTCTGTCCAGTACTATTGAGGGATATGAAACTTTCTTTCTCTCTCTTATTACTCACAGCCCAGATCCCCAGTCCCACTCCCACAGTCCCATGCAAACGTAGGAACTCACTTGACATTCACTTTGAGCATTGCTCATGCCATATGGAGTCATATGGAAAGAAAGAAATCAATTACAGAACAGGGATCTCTAATTAGATATAAACAAAAACTATTGAAATTATTGTCCCTCCTTGATTCCAGCTAGCTGCCCAAAGAAGTGGCCATACTACAATCCTGGGCACACCAGCTTGGGGATTGATGAATCCCTCTGCGAAATAGACTTGCAATAAAGCTGCACGAGAGGTTCTGCAACAAAGCATCCTGGTGATAATTCCTGAGAAAGGAATTTCACCCCCAGAAGTGAGGCCTGGATAGAGTTGGGCAGATGGAAAATTGGCTGCTTATCTAAAAGCCCACAATAAAGAGGCTGGGTGGGTGGGTGAGAGATAACTCCCAATAACCAGGTCAGGCCCTCACCAACTGATGCTGCAATTTGTAAAGGAGAAAAGCACCAGTTATAGTCTGGGGAATCCATGCAATGGGGACTCATCTGGATAGAGTTGGGCAGATTGAAAATTGGCTGCTTATCTAAAAGCCCACAATAAAGAGGCGGGGTGTGTGGATGAGATGTAACTCCCAATAAGCATGTCAGGCCCTCACCAACTGATGCTGCAATTTGTAAAGGAGAAAAGCACCAGGAAAGCTCTGGGGAATCGATGCAATGCGGACTCATCCATGGCCTCAGATCCTCAGTGTCCCATAGGACAAAACGGTGAGGTCTGTTACAGAGCAATGACCAATATGTTTTCAAAAGAGCCCTTTGAATTCAAAACCAGCACCTCCAGGCATCAGTGAAAAAGGAAATATTTCTGGGGATTACTGGCAAATGGATTTTCTGAGCTACCACGACAACATGGGCTCAGGTATCTCCTGGTGTTGGTGGATCCCTTTTTTGGGGCTCCTTCTGCCACAGCAACAAGGCCAGGGAAGCCCAGGCATCACTGAAAGAGGAAACAATCCTGGGGATTACTGGCAAATGGATTTTCTGAGCTACCACACCAACATGGGCTCAGGTGTCTCCTGGTGTTGGTGGATCCTTTTTTTCGGGCTCCAGAACTCCTTCTGCCACACCAACAAGGCCAGGGCAGTCACGCTGGCACTCCCCCAAGAGACATACCACGACAACATGGGCTCAGGTATCTCCTGGTGTTGGTGGATCCCTTTTTTGGGGCTCCTTCTGCCACAGCAACAAGGCCAGGGAAGCCATCCCCCAGAGACCATCCCCAGGCCGAAGGTGCCTACAGGGATGTCATCCGATAGGGGACCCCAACAGGTATCTGAGGTGTGGCAGCAACTCAGTGAGCACTGGGGAGTGGGACTGGGGGGAACTGGGGGAACACGGGACGGTGGGATTTACTGGCAAATGGATTTTCTGAGCTACCACACCAACATGGGCTCAGGTGTCTCCTGGTGTTGGTGGATCCTTTTTTTCGGGCTCCAGAACTCCTTCTGCCACACCAACAAGGCCAGGGCAGTCACGCTGGCACTCCCCCAAGAGACACCCCAGGCTGAAGGTGCCTACAGGGATGTCATCTGATAGGGGACCCCAACTGGTATCTGAGGTGTGGCAGCAACTCAGTGAGCAGTGGGGAGTGGGACTGGGAAGAACGGGGGGTGACATGGAACCCAGGATTGGGGTCGTGGGGGGTGAGTAATAAGAGAGAGAACAGAAAGTTTCAGATCCCTTAATGGCAATCCCTTTTTTGGGGCTCCTTCTGCCACAGCAACAAGGCCAGGGAAGCCATCCCCCAGAGACCATCCCCAGGCCGAAGGTGCCTACAGGGATGTCATCCGATAGGGGACCCCAACAGGTATCTGAGGTGTGGCAGCAACTCAGTGAGCACTGGGGAGTGGGACTGGGGGGAACTGGGGGAACACGGGACGGTGGGATTTGGGTTGTGGGGGGCGAGCAATAAGAGAACAGAAAGTTTCAGATTCCTTAATGGTGCTGGAGAGAGCTTATAGATGAAGGGGCAAAAGCAAGGAAAGGAAGTAGAAGTGTGGATACCCAGGATGAACGTGGATGGAATCCATGAAGAAACAGATAAAGGGAGATCCAGTGAGGTTCTTTTGCAAATTCTGGACCACATTAGGAGCAGTGCCTGCAAAAAGCAGAAGTTGCAGGAAAGGCCATCTGGCATATCGGGGCACTCAGTGAAAACCACACGCAGACACTCCTTTGGGTGACCCTCCAGTTCTATAAAAGGACTTCCAGAAAAAGACAGAACCATGCAATTTTTTTCCTGCGAAAATTATGTAACTGCATTAGCTAAGAAGCCCCATTCAATAAATATTTATAGTTACAATGGATAAATACCCCATGGCAAAATGCCCCCTGACATGCAGGACCAGTAGAGATCTGCTGTGAGTCCAAGATGATAAAGATAAAGAATTCCAGCTTTCTGATACCTCCAGTTCCATCGGGGAGTTCGCTCTCGTGGACTTCAGTATCAGAGGCTGGGGAACACTGGCGACAGTTCAGGGGGGAACATAAGACAGGGATTCTGCAGTGGGGCCATGGGAGACTCCAGGGGGATGTTGTGCGGGCAGGGGTTGATCCCTGGATTTGGGTTGGGATCCTGGTGTGACATGAAATGGGTAATGGGACATGGAGCAGGTTTTGGGTCTGGGAGAGGGAGCGGGGGGACACTGTGGGGGTGAGGGAGTGGCTTTAGGAATTTGGGTGAAGTCCCAGAGGGGCCTGGGGTTGCAAGAGGGTTGCAGAGGATTGGCAGCTGGCTTGAGTTGCTGGGGAGTACTGGCGGGACAACGGAAGGGTAAACAGGGGACTGGAATTGGCACGGGGGGGCTGGTGGGACACTGAGGGGACACTGGAGAGGTCAGGGATTGTTCTCAGGGTTTGGGCTGGGGTGACACTACTGGGGGAAGGGACACAAGACTGGGAGTAGGGTTATGGGGCTGGTGGGCTCAGGAATGCCACAGGGTGGGACACAGAAGTGGCATCTAGGGGAGGCATTGTAGGAGTGAGATTGGGGTCCTGGTGGGTGCTGATGGGGGGGCAGGGAGTGACCCCAGAATTATAATTCAGTTCCTGGTGTTCTAGGAGGACACTAAGCATTTGGGACATGGGACCATGGGAGTGGAATTGTTGTTCTGAGGAGAGTCCATGAATGACCCCAGGATTTGGGATCAGCATCCCAAGATGTGTCCAGGGGGTTTCTAGCTGAAGCTGGCCCCCACCACCAGTTGAAACCAGTTCCCCTCCTCAGCCCCTCAGGGAGGAACCCTTCCCACGTACTCCGGTGTGCCCCAATTGTCCCCTCAGTGTGCCACTCTTTTTACCCCAGAGTCCCACACTGCTCATGGTGGCTCCTCCCTGTCATGGCTCTCCTGGCTCACACCCTGGCACTGCTGGCAATGACCGTGGCCACTGTGGCCACCAAGGTGGTGCCCCTGGACATGGCCCAGGACTCCTTCCATGTCCAGTACCGGGGCTGCAGCCACGCCATGAATGCAGCCTTGCCCGCCCTCTACAACTCCGAGTACCAGATGAATCCTCACTTCTCCTGGAGCTGGTTTCATGCTCATGCTCAGTGGCACAAATGGGGCTCTCCTGTGTCCTCTCTGGTGTCCCCATGGCCTACACAATGATGTACCTATACAGGGAGTTCAGCGCAGCCATGGGCATGGCTGGGAGTTCCCGCCAGGAATCCCAGACAACTTCCACTTCAAAGTGCTGCATTTCCTGCTGACCCAGGTACTCGTCACACTGAGGCACGCTCAGAATGGGCAGTGTCACCACGTCTTCTGGGGTGTGCATGATGTCCACTTTCAGGCACAGCGTGGCCGGAGGATCCGGTTTGGTCAATTTACATCGACGTCACTGAGCACAGAGATCGCCCAGAAATACGAAACAGACACCATATTCGAGGTTCACACATGCCACAGTATGGACATTTTTGCTTTTTCCTATGATCCTAGCAACCGTGAGGTGTTGATCCCACCCTTTGAGACCTTCAAGGTCACCAAAGTCACCCAGAATGGGAAGAAGACGTGGATCAGTCTCTGCTCCACTGGGACCTTCAGCAAATACAGCTGCTCATGGCTGAGAGGTGATGCCACACAGGACAGCCTGGGGCGATGGGGACACCCACCCACTGTGGCCTTGGGGACAGCCATGATAAGGCACAGGGGACAATGACACTCACTGGGGATGAGGGACAGGGGCATCCACTGCGTGTGGTGGGATATGGATATCCGCAGCTGGAAACAAGGACAGGGATACCCAAAGCTGGGGATAGCCACAGTGTACAGGGTACACCCATGACAGGGCACAGGGGTTGGAGACACTCCCTGAGACTTTGGGGACAGGAACAACACATGCTGGGGACACCAAATTTGGGGACACCCATTGTGGGCATGGGGACAGGAACATGCATGACAGGGCACAGAGATGGGGATCCCCACCTCTGGGAGGGAACACGGCCACAGACACCCCTGTCACTGGACAACTAGAACAGGGACAGAGACACGGACCCCCCATACTGACCCTGTCACTCCCCACCCAAGGCAATGCTGTGGGGATGGGCACTGTGTGTTGGATGTGGGAGAGCCGGGACCCCCTGTGGCACTCCCTGAACCCCCCATGGCACTCCCTGACCTCCTTGGCACTCCCTGTTACCCCCTTGGCACTCCCTGACTCCCCTTGACGCCTGTCACTCCAAAGACCACCATGATGCCCCTGATCTCTTTAGTTCCTGTATCACCCCCATGCCCTTCCAGACATCCTGTCACCTCATGGCCCCAAACTCACCTGTCACCCCAACCC